CGTGGGTCTGCTGTTGAAGATCTGTAGGCATATGGAATGGGATTAACTGCACAGTGATGATTCCTAATAACCCCTTTCTCTAATCTCTAATTCCCTTCATAGGTGGGGAATGGGTAGTCATCTAAGAATACACAATTGGCCTCTATCCCCTTACATGCCAGTCTGCTTACATGGTCTAGCTCTTCATTTTGGAATGTGGAACTATTATCATTTGTTTTGATATAAATTCCTGGGGCCTGACAAGAAACTGGAACAATAATCTTCCATCCAGGTTGGCCAAGGAACACCAGCTTTGCCATTGGGGTTGCTCTTGGCACCATTTCATAAACACTGAAAAAAATGTTTATTAAAAAGCCTACAGCTCCTTTTGAGTTTCTTTTCTCACTCCCCATATTAACCGACCCTATTTGCAATTCATTATTTCTATTTAAATTTTAAGTCATAAATATTAGTTTACACTTCCTCATGGATTTCATTTGATTGATGGGTGATTGATTCTAATGGATTTTTTTCTTATCCATCCTTTACATTTACAGGTTTTGAGATAAGAAGATAAGCCAGAAACATCCATCCGAGAACGACATTTGAAGAACTAAGCCTTCAACTGACACGTGAAACCAAGCACTCAGCTCCACTTTTCTGGAGGGTCAGGAAACCATTCTGTTAACATGCTTTTGGCTTTACTGTTTGCTGCATAATTTCTGAGCAGAACTGAACTATAGAACAGAATGATGGAATAAATGCAGCGATGATGGCTAAAGTGACTAAAACCTGAGATGACTGAGAAATAAAGGCACTGTAGAGGAAGGAAGTGTTTATTGTACAACTCAGTGCCACAAATGGCTATGAGATCTTAAGATAGAAAATAAAATAAGCTTTAAATTAATAAATTACAGGGCATCTTTCTCAAAGTACATACCACATATACCCTTCTGATTATAAGGTTAGTGCAATATATAGATATTAAGATATTCTTGATGATCTAATAAAAAAGACTTTAAAATGTAGTTCTCAAGAGTAGACAATGACCTTAAAATGGGAATATACAAATAAATCACTTTCCTCTGCAAAGGGTTATGCAAATAAATTATTGGACTTTAAAGGAGTAATAAATTACATTGTGCTTTATTGTGATATATTGTGATCAACAATGAAGTTGATGTAGTACAGTAAAGTTTTCTCTTCAAGGACTATTCGTATACTGAACACTGTTATGAAGCTCACCCAGTATCAGAACATAGAGGAAACTCTTGTGATGTGCACAGGAAC